CTTCTCTTCTCTTCTCTTCTCTTCTCTTCTCTTCTCTTCTCTTCTCTTCTCTTCTCTTCTCTTCTCTTCTCTTCTGGCTTATCCCAAGTGTTGAGTGGAACATTTGTGTAGGGTTTGGGCTCCAGGAATTGATTTAATGAAAACAGTTTGCTTCTGCATTGAGATGGAGGAGCAGGATGAAGGGTGGTCAGGTCCTCAGCTGGTTGTGATCTTCCCAATCTTGGGAGAAGTCATGGAAATGGAGAACATCATTCTGGAAAGATGTAACTACAGGAGACCTAACAAAATTTGATGGCTTCATCAGCCAACATGCCAAGGAATGAGATATTGGGTAAAGATGAAGATTAAAGTTTAGTTTTAGTTTCTTAGTCTGCTTGACCAAGATTAAGAAGAAATAAGGAAGTCATGAGTTCTTCCAGCCTTGGGAGGGGTGGAAATCCCCTGTAGATGACCACAATCATGGAAGCTGAAGCTCCAAAAACTGTGTAGGGTTTGAAAGAGAAGTTTGGATAGCACTCACAGACACAATGTAAGAGACAAAGTACAAAATTACAGAAAGAAAACACAAATACAAGACTGACCCATGGGTATTGAGGAGGAGTGGCTATAGGTTTGGCAGTGCAGACTCAGTAGAAGAAGACAGGGTGCACGGTGCCGGGTCCAGGTTATCCATGGCCTTCTGTTCCATGGTAAGGAGCTTGGATTTTACTGATAGGCAAACTGGCAATGACACTGGGAAGTGTCAAAGTCAGATTTGCTTTTCCAAAAGATATACACTATTGACATCTAATTACCTTTGCATAAAGAAATGCATAACCTGAATAATCATCAGAGTGGAGAAAGCATGAAAGACCAGTGAGAAAGCTGCTGCAGTAACGCTGGTGTGAGGGTGATGGTATCTTGGACCACAGCAATGATAATAGCATAGAGTGGTTTAGAAAGTAGATGTATGATTGGATAAGGGAGAATAGTCTAGGATGGCTGCTGAGTTTCCAGTTGGATGATGGTAATGTGGTAGGGAATAAAGAGGGACATGTTTTTTGATTGGCATACAGGGGTTTTATTATGATAATTCCATAGGCAGATACAGTGTACTTTGAACAAGTTTACCCCCTCTATTATATCCCTTTCTCTTCCCTTACTCTCCCTTTTAAAATAGGCTTTTGTGGGTTTCTTTATACTATATTCATCTATGAATAAATTCATATTTATATATGATATCTATCATCTGTTTTTCATACTCATAATCTATCTTGCTCATACTTGAGTACTCCTGGGAGCAAGATGACATGTTCTAATTTGAATGTGTTAAGTTTGAAATGGATATCCAGGAGGCTACATGTATTGACACCTGGGTAGTAGTTGAAGATAAATGCTTGGATGTTTTTGGAAAAATAGTAAATATGTAAGTGTCTATTAATGATTCCATAAATTATTATAGTATTTTTGCTTCTCTTCTCATCTATTCTTCATCTTATACTGGAGTTTGACCAGATCGAGTGCTTGTAAGCTCTGAATGCCAGGACTGTGGGCCCTTAGAGATCTTTTTGATATTGCTTTCCTGTTTCCTTCAAGCTCCTGAAAGGAACCAGGGTGATTATAGGAACTATGTGTGTTTTAGCGTAACATTTTTACATTTTAGTGTAACCTTTTACACATCGCTTGGACTGTCCATATTTGGGGTAACTTAACGGAAGTTACTTTTTTGTGATAAAACTACAATAGTATTATTTGCTTGGCATGGGTATTAATGACTCAAAGAATGTATAATAAAGACCCAGCCTTCTGGGTTATTATTCTGCTTGCTCTTTTTGGATAGTTGTATTTTGTAGTCACATAAACAAACTTTATTTTTTATCTTTCCAATCAAGTTTATATTCAGGGTCTGCAATTACATTGGAAGTGATAATCTTAATCTTTGTCCTTAGAGAAAAATCCTGCAAGTCAAAATTATCAACAAACTTGAGTAGTTTCTAAAATGAGTGCAGGTGTAACTCCACTGAAGAATTTTCAGATAGATGTGTTTATGCTCTGTGTAATAAAATGTTCATGGCTGTCTTCTGATCTATTCAAGTACTCACATAGTCTTACTGTATACTTGATAACCAAAGCAGAGGAAAGAAAACTTAGGATAAGAAAACAGTTTGCACATTCTAAACTATGTCACTTTAAGTTTGTTGATTATCATGTAGTAAATATTTCTTTGATTTTTTAAAAATAAATCTTGTGTGACAGCCCAGCAGGATGGTCTTTAGACCATCTCACCATGGCCACGAATTTCTGTTGACACAGGAACAGAGGTTATTAGAAATTTGAAGAAAAGTGGAAAGGTCGTTTCTAGTACATAGTTTTAGCTTCTATTCATTCTCTCTTATCTTAGTAGAGTTCTTGAAAGGGCAAACTCTACTTGCTAGTGTGAAGTATAGGCTACACTTTCTTGCTCCATCATGGTCACTTTCTTGAAACTGCGCTTGAATATCACTATTTGTCTTTCCTATTGTCAAATCCAATGCTTCCTCTCTTTGTATCCACTGACATTGTTACAACCTCCTTGTATCTTTGGCTTTTCTGACCTCCCATGCTCTGTCTCCTTTCTGCCTGTATGGTGGGTTCTCTGTCACTCTTTAAAGGGTGGGGCCCTCTCCTTGTTCTCTAAATGCAAGTCTTTCTTATTCTCCGTATAGGTTAGCTTTCCATTATGTACCATCTTTGTTGGGAACTATCTTGCTCTCAAAGCTTTAATACACTCTGTCTTGGCAGCAGCAAGCTCCTTCCTTCCCTCTGACTCCTCTCCACACCTTCCAGCTCCAAACCCATCAATTTCTTCCCTTATTTCAGCCCCTTTACCAGTTTAGCTCTTCCCACTAATGATTTCATAGTTTACCTGATTGCTAGATTACTAGATTTCAGTCTATTTTCTCTGATAACCATTACCACATCAATTATTGAAATTATGTATTGCAGTTAATTATTGCAATTACTGCCAACATTATTGCAATTACTTTGTATATGTATATTCTTATATATTCATATATTTTCTATATATTCATATAGAAAGTAATATATAGTTGCATATAGTTTCTGTTTTACTCACACTGGTTTGCCTACTTCTAGATTACACTTCCTAATCTTATGCATAGTTTTGCCTCCCCTGCTGATCTCTCAACTGCTTTCTATTGCCTATAGAAATTCTAGGATGGGGGCTGGGAAGGTGGCTCAGTGGTAGAGCACTTGCCTTGCATGCCTGAGGCCCTGGGTTCAATTCCTCAGCACCACATAAGCAAAAAGAAAAAAGCTGGAAGAGGGGTGGGGGTGGGGGGTGTGGGGGGGGTGGGAGGTGGGGGGGGAGTATGGGAAGGGCTGGGAAGGGGAAACAAAGGAGGAGGCTACAATGCTTGATAAGAAATGTAGTCATTATCTTGCCCATGTAATTGTAATCCCTCTGTACAGTATTTCCACAATAAAAAAATAAATAAAAATTAAAAAAAGAAAAAAAACCGGAAGTGGCACTGTGGCTCAAGTGGTAGAGTGCTAGCCTTGAGCTGAAGAGCTGAGGGACAGCACCCAGGCCCAGAGTTCAGGCCCTGCGACCAGATCCCCCCCCACACCAAAAAAAAATTCTAGTATGGCACCAGAACTACTCTGAATTTAGTATAGGTCTTTTCCTTAGCACAAGCTACGTCTGTGGGACCTAACTTTTAGCTTAGTAATTCCCTAATGAGGGCACTCTGTGTGTGTGTGTGTGTGTGTGTGTGTGTGTGTTGTGAATTGAATCCAGGGTCCTGTGCATGGTAGGCAAATGCTCTACCACAAGTTACATCCCAGCTCCAATGAGGGCTTTATGATATAACTTATCATATACTCTTTAGAAGATAAGCTTTCTAGTTTTTTTTTCTATACATGCTCCACACGGTAACACTGGTATTGATTGTCTCTGATGAATGAACATGGAGAAATAATTATTTTCTTCTGTAATAAATGCCAAGAGTGGAGATTGTGGATTAAAAAAATCTCGCAAAATGTGTGTTGAGATAATGAAAGCAGTCCTTGGTGATGAAAAGGTGGAGACCTCCACTGTGTATTCTAGTTAGTGGGAACAGTATGATGCAGAGGTCCCAAGCAGACTTACATTTTCGTGGCTTGGTTCCTCGGCCTCCAGTGTCTTTCCTGTCATCTCCTAGCACCTGAATCCTCTAAATCCTTTGGGTCGTTCAGGGGACCTAGTTGGACTTGTGGATCTCTCGCTCCCCCTCCATCTCTTCCCCTGTGTGTCTTTCCTGTCATCTCCTAGCACCTGAATCCTCTAAATCCTTTGGGACTACTTAGCAGATATCCTCTCTTCCCTCCCACCTCTACCGGGAAGTGAAGTGACCTTTCGCCTTTCCGCAAACCTTCAGTGTCTGCCACACTTTACTGCCTTTTATTTCCTTGCCACATGAAGCCTCTGTTTGGTGGGAGTGATATTCTGAGCATTTCCCACCCTGCACTACTTAGCAAGCGGTGAAAATCAGGAAAATACTATGGAATGAGTCCCATGCCCCAGAGCCCAGGCCTCGTCTGCCCAATCACAGTCCTAGGAGCAGTTCGCTGGGCCTGTGGACCTGTTCTGAATTCATTTCCACTTCATTAACTGGGCCCCAGCCCCGCCCTCGCCGCTCCCTCTCTGGTTGCTGCACTCTGGATACCAACGTCTTTCTTCTTTCTTTCTTCGCCTGTCACCTTGCCAGCTCGGCTTCCATCGCTCCACGTATCGTCTCTTCATCTCCCTTTCTCCCTGACTCTGTCTGGGTCTCTGTCTTTGGGTGTTTCTGCGCCTCCAACTGTCTGGGTCTCCGCTTCCTTGCTCACTATGCCACGCCCCTTGCCCACGCTCCTCCAATCCCGACCGCTTGGGCTTGGCGCTCCACTCTCCCATTGGTCGGTCCAGAGCCCCACGCCCCCGCCCGCCCAGCCCCCCCTCTGGGCCCATTCACTCAAAGTTTGGCTCTGGTACTGCGGAGGGAGGGGGCGGCCCGGCCCGGCCCAGCTCTGCCCCCGGCCGGCCCGACCCCGGCCCCGGCCCCTGACAAGCCCTTATCTGATCCCAGATCCGGGTTTAAGAGTCCTGGCTCTGCCCGTCACTGAGCTCCGCTCCTCACTCCTGCCCGCCCCGTCGGTCCAATCTGTCCTGCTGCCCCGCGGCCCGTCCAAGGGGCCACTCCGCCTCGGACCCAAGGTAAGACCCTGGCCCTGATGGAGGAGTGCTGCCGCACTGGCCGGGGTCCTGTCCACTTAGCTCTTCAAAGACATTGGGATCCCTAATCCCCAACCCCTTAGTCCCTACTGGGGGCTGACCTGCTCCCCTTCCCTTCGCCTTGGGCAGTCCCAAACCGAGCCTTCTGGAAAGAGCTCCCCATGGAGGTTTCTCTCTCTGTGTCTCTCTGTGTCTGTGTCTGTCTGTCTGTCTCTCTAATGGTCACCTCACCCTTTTAATCCTGGGAAGGGGCTTTCCTGTTGCCCCCCTCCCCACTCTGTTGAGGGGAGCAGACCTGCAATTGCATCTCTGTTTCTTGGGTTACTACAGTGACCACCACACATCTCCGTGCATCCACCACACAGGCACGCAGACATTGCCCCCTCCTCCCAGTAGACAGCTCCCCCCCCCCCCCCCCCCATTCAGTGACACTCAGATAGTGACACTGATCACTCAGGGAGTAGAACACATACAAGTTAGATTAGGGAGAGACAGGAGCCTGGAGTGTCTGGGAACCCAGTCAGCAATCTCTTCCTTTCTTTCTCGCCTGCCTCCTGCTTCAAGATACCCAACCCTTCTCCTCTGTACCCCACCTTCTCTCCTTCAGACAGGTGAATCCTTCTGGAGTCGGAGGGTAGATTATGATCTGTAAATTCATCCTCCAAACTGAGATGCTCTTCCTGTTCCATCCCTCCCTCCACCAGAAACTAAGCAAGGGCTCCAGTGTTAGGAGAAATGAAGGTTGGAACTTGCTCATTGAGGTGAAAAGAGTAGAATCCCATGGTGGGAACAAGAAGGGCAAAACTGGGGATGGTAAGGGTGGGCCTCTATGCTCTTGAGATTTCATTGCTGTAAATGAAGCTCCCAGGCAGGTTGGGGCAGAGGGAGAAACCAGATAGTGTAGAAGCCAGTGTACATTTGGACCCAAAAAGAAGCTGGAGCTTAAAGTCTGATCAAGTTGTAGATGGATACAAATGCTGACTAAAGATTTCTGGCCTGTATGTCCTTGATGGGGTGTTTGGATTTTTTTCTCTCCATAAGAACTGTTTTAGGTAATCTGGGTGGGAGAGAGATGATGATGATGATGATAAGTAGGAGGAGGATGGAAGATTTGGTGTCCCCCCCTGTTTAGAGATGCTGAAAGAGCTTGGAGTGGGTGCTGAAAAGCCACCAACAATTCAATTTAGTTTCACCCTAAAGCCCTCTCCTTGATTTCTGAGGATTTTTGAATATGTTCCTGGCATAATGATGGGTGCCACTCTGTGCCAAACAGTAAGGTTCTTAATTTTTTTGGGTGTAGACTGGAAATGGGGGACCAAGCCTAGAGGGAACCAGGTGTCCTGACTCATAGCTGGTTCTTTAGGGAGGAAGAAAAGGTGGTAAGAGTGGGGGAAGGCTTCCTGCCAGGGAGAGGGTCCAGGACTGTGGAAGCAATAGGCATGGCCAGGCAGTGCCAACTCCTCCTTCCCCCCTCCCCCGCGAGTCATTTGGTGGTGGTGGTGAGGGAGGGAGGGAAGGAGGGGGAGTTAGGGGTGATCTGGGCCAGTCCAGCCTCCCAAAGCCCTTGCCAACCTGGGTCCTGAAAGAAACTGCTGTTTTCTGAACCATCTCCCCCACCCCCCACCCAGAACCTAGAGCAGCCAAGTTGTCTCAGCGGATATCAAATGGCAATGACTCTACTGACTGGGGGGGGGGGGGGGGACTGGGACTGGGGCAGTGGCAGGGGTGGGGGGAGCAGAGGTATGGTTCCATTTCTTCTGCAGCGCTAATACAGACTCCCACATCTCCCTCCTACTCAGAGGATAAAAACACGTCTCCTTAGCACCAGCTCCACATCCATCCTTTGGATGCATATGTCTATGTGGGGGAAATAATTGTCTTCCCACCAGCATCCCATATCTCCTCTGTGTGGCCCCCACCTGTGCCACTCTACATGAGCTTATTTACAGCTCCAAATTTGCTAGCTTGGCCTAGGAGGGAAGTGGCTGGCAAAAGACCCAGGGGCCTTCTTTTTGCTTGTCCTCCCTAGGGACCAGAAGGCTGGGATGCTTGGATCTGGGTGGGCTTGGATGAATTCACTGGAGTTATCCCCAGGTATTGGTGGGATAAGAGGTTTAGGAGTCTTGAGGTGGGTTATGCAACAAGACCCACTTCCTGCAAGAAGATTCCTGGGTCTCCTAGCAAAAGGTTGGCTTGCTTACATATAAATGGAAAGGTAGGTTGAAGACCTTAGTGATGGTGAGGAAGGAACGAAACTTTGGGCAACAGAGCCCTCAAGTGTTCCTCCTAAGGTTATTTAGAACAGAAGAAAAAACTCCGCTCTCCCTCCCTCCTCGGCCTAGATTCTTCTCTTGCCTGACTGGTCAGTGCTACTGTCCTGGCTGAGGCCAAGCTCTCCAGGACAGTAGTGAGGCCCTGGAAGGGGACGGGGAGAACAGATAACACAAGGCAGAATGCTGCGATGAAGCTGCAGAAAGATTGGAGCCAAAGGGGAAGTTTGGAATTCAAATGTTTTAGCACCCAATAAAGAGGGTTGGGTGGGAAAGCTCTAGAGAAGGGGAGTACTTCCAGCTTGCTGTGTCTCTCAGTCTTTCCCTCTCCTATGAGAGAGCAGTGCTTTTTTTCATCTGAGTTTAATATCTGTATTGTCACCATTCTTCATGGAGGGAGTCCATCCTGGGTGGCCCCTCTCCACCCCTCCTCCTTGAGAACCTTGAAAGGGCAAAAAGAAAGGAATTATGGGAGCAACCTTCCTGTGGGTGTCTGCCAGCCTGGATTTGAGGTGGTGGGGAGGGGAGGGGTTGGCTCTGGAATGTGGGAGAGAAGTCAGAATGGAACTGTGTAGCCTTGCAGGAGGTAGCTGGAGAAATGGGGACTGAATTAGCATTTCAGGTCTCCATAAAGGTCTAAGTAAGCTAGGAGCTGGTATACATGGCGCTACTGCAGCTCTTCCAGTGGCAGAAGATCTATGGGAAGGGTTGAGAGAGAATATAGGTTAGATTTCAGGAAGCACACCTCACAGATGGAAAGACATTTGAAATGAAGATTGGGAAAGAAGGGATGGAGGCTTCTGAGAGAACACACACATGCACACGCACACACACACACACACACACACACACACACACACACACACACACAGAAAATACTCCCACTATTCACCCAAACAAACAAAAAAGCCCACCATTAAGGCTTCTGAGGGGAGCCATGATGCCAGAGGTGAAGGGATCAGGATGGGTGACAAGTGTCAAGGGGTCACTCATGGATGCTGTGGGACACCGCATTGCTGGCTGAGGCCTCCTTTCTGCTCTTAGACACAACAGATGCACGTGAAAAGCACAGTTTTGGAATCAGACTTCCCAGGTCTGAAATCCTGGTCTTAGTAGTTTCTCATTCTTACTGGTGCTAACAGGGTTAATAATAGTTGTGAGGATTAAAAGAGTCAATATTTGTAAAGGGCTTAGAAGGTGTTTAAGCATGTAAAATGTACAGTGGGCTGTCAGGGTTCTCAGGCCTCTGTGACTCTACTGTTACCTTTCCTGGCTTTGACTTATCCCACCCCTCCGTGGTGTTTTTTTTTGTTTTTAAACTGAGATTCTGTTCCAGTTCTCTGTACTTCATCTTTCTGGAGTTTGAAAAGGTAGAAAAATGATCAAGTAGTTTAGAGGGAGTTTCTGTTTTACCTCAACAGGCTGGCTGTCTTGTAATACTGGATCTCCACAACCACAAGCCTATACGATTTTGACAAGGAGATGTCCTGTCTTCAAGTCAGAGTCAATACAACGTGAACAGTGCTGTTAAATGTCCCTTAAGTTTTCTCCCCGTTCTCAGCAACATCTCTGTTTCAGACAAGAACACCGACTAGTCTCTGAACCTTGCTTTCCCACATAGCCCTGCCTGGCTCTTTTTCCTCACCCTGTCTGTCCACTTCTGTTCAGGTTTGTCCGAACTTCTCTCACGCTTACGTGTCCCACTCTTCTGTCCTCCGATCAGCCTGTCTAGCCTTCAGCCTTGTTACCCTGGCTCCATTCTTTTTCTCCTTGATTCTGTCTCTTTGTTCCACTCTGGAGCCCTCACTGGAACTGCCCTGAAGCATCAATTCTATCTTACCCTTCTCTACCTAGACACTCCAGTTCTCATCAGATGAAAATTTCCCAATTGCCACCTTAAGCACCCCATCCCTTGGGGCTGTTTTTCAGATCCTGTTCAGGGAGATTGCATCTGAGGGCTATCAGTCTCTGAGCTGTACTTTTTCTCCCACTCCGGGTCCTCTTATAGGCCATTCTAAGCTCCACCATTTGCAAATTGTTATTCTGTTTCCCTCTCTGTTTTACTATCTTGCTTTTAACCCCCTTATAGAAGGTGGGGATGTCAGATGCCTCCTATCTCCTTCATTAGCCTAGGGGCTCCTCTAGGGAGGGGCTTATGGTTCTGTCAGGTTAAGGTCTCCCTGAAGCAAAGGCTTCTGTCCCTGGACCCTTGGCACTGGGCAAAGGGCTTAGATTCTAGGATGCAAAGTGAATGCTATTGTCCATCATCATTCCAGAAGGCCAGAAACCTTCGTGCTTACTTATGTGGGAAGGGTCACTAGCTTTAGAGGCTTATGAGAACATCCTGCATAAGCTAAATTTCCAGACTTCCATGGAAACTCTTACCCTGTCAACCATACCATCCTGCATATATGACTTAACCTAAGCACTAGAACCCCCAAACTCCAGTCCCTTAAGCATTGTTGGCCCAAACACAAAACAATTTGAGAATCCAGGCTCCACAGAGCCCTTCTCCCCTTACCTGGGAGGTCTGATTCCAGCCTTATATGGGGCTTTTTAGTCAATGTCTGGAGTGGAACTAGGGGGTAGAGATCAGAGTCCAGTCTGGGACAGTTCCATTTTCTTGCACATATCGCTGAGCTGTTGCTTAAAAGATAGGAGATGTGAGGACACCTTCCACATGGAATATAGGCCTGGCCCCTTAGTGTTCCA